GCTTGCTTTCACTGAAGCCAGGAGTACAAGAGGGATCGGTGCGCACCAATCCCGCTTGCTCTCCTGGCTTCAGGGATAGCCCCGCAAGGCCTCCTGAGCGAAGATGGAGGAGCGCTCCCTCTTAGCTCAGGGTGCTTTGCGTTGCTTTTTTATTTCTTGTTTTCCTCCCCTAAAAACTAGGTGCGTTTTATGGTCCGGTGCGTCTAATAGAGCGAAAAATACGGTAGATTCCCACAGGCCTGCAGGACATTCACCCCGTTGTAGTGAATGCCACGATACTGCTCTCCTCCCTCTATATCAACCTAACAAAAATGAGTTAAGTTTCTCACGTTTATCCTCTTTGTAAATCAGTAGCTTGTTTTAATGTGTGCATACCAATGTATGCACTATTATGTGTACATTAATAAAGGATATTTTCATGCATGCCTTTATGTTTGTTTCTGTTGCAAAGACAAAAACATCTTATGAATGCAGGAAGAAAAACCTGCGGACAGCCAAAATAATCCAGTTTCTGCAGTCGCTTGTAATTTGATTCGGCTGCAGGGTTGTACAGTATTGGTATGGTATTACCAGCATTCACAATGCTAATAATACGTACCATCAAATGCATTTTTTGCTGTCCATGTCATCTAAGTACTGTAGTTGGGAGATTCCCCCGCTTTCCTGTCTAGTGCTATTTGTTCCCGTACGAAAGGTATGTGACAAAGTTTCCCCCTAGTGGGAAAAAACTAGATCAACTTTGGTCTTCTACAAAGCCTTGCACTTTCTGCTGAAAGTGCTACAAGCATATCTCTCAAATGTGCTCCTGGTTGTTAAAGAGGTCGGCTGACTGCTATAAAATCAAGCAATACATTCGTTAATTTCAGCATATACATTTAGGTAGAATGTGGGCATTTCCATATTTGGGCTCATATCTGCTCGGACAACGCAAGTCGGATACAAAATACATCAGATCTGAGTCCTGGGGAACAAAGAACGTCGTCATTGTGTGAATGTCACTTATTTTCTGCTTCCACAAATATCCCCGGTCTGTTATGCAAACATTCATTCATACAAACATTAAAGGGACTCTGCTTCACGTACTGCATCCTAAGGAACATCATTTTTGTGTGTGTCAGTCTGCTGCCAGGGAAGAAAGCACTCTGCTTGCCTCTAGATCTTTGCTCCTAGTTCTGCCATTAAAGCTTTATAGAATCACAGAATAATAGAGATGGAAGGGACCCCAAGAATCATCAAGTCCAGCTCCGCTGTAGTGCAGGAATCTCAGCTAAAGCATCCATGACAGATGGCCACCCAACCTCTGGTGAAAAACCTCCAAGGAAGGAGACTCCACAACCTCCCGAGGGAGACCGCTCCAAACCGCTCCAATGTGGAACAGCTCTGACTGTCATAAAGTTCTTCCTGAATTTTAGTCGGAATCTCCTTCCTTGTAACTTGAAGCCATTGGTTTGGGTCCTACCCTCCAGAGCAGGAGAAAACAAGCTTGTTCCCTCTTTCTTCCATGTGACAGCCCTTGAGATATTTGATGATGGCTATCGTATCTCCTCCTCCTGCACGGAGAAGCCTCTTGAGAGTCCCATGGACTGCAAGAAGATCAAACGCATCCATTCTTAAGGAAATCAGCCCTGAGTGCTCACTGGAAGGACAGATCCTGAAGCTGAGGCTCCAATACTTTGGCCACCTCATGAGAAGAGAAGACTCCCTGGAAAAGACCCTGATGTGGGAAAGATGGAGGGCACAAGGAGAAGGGGACGACAGAGGACGAGATGGTTGGATAGTGTTTCGAGGTTACCAGCATGAGTTTGACCAAACTGCGGGAGGTAGTGGAGGACAGAGGTGCCTGGCGTGCTCTGGTCCATGGGGTTACGAAGAGTCAGACATGACTAAATGACTAAACAACAACAACAACAACAGTACAGTGGTACCTCGGGTTACATACGCTTCAGGTTACAGACGCTTCAGGTTACAGACTCTGCTAACCCAGAAATAGTACCTCAGGTTAATAACTTTGCTTCAGGATGATGTAAGTTAAGTGATGAATTAATATGTTAAAATTCATAATGTGAAGATTTAAGGATGTTAATGTGTAAGTTAAATTATTTTCAGAACTGTGATTTGGAAAACCGTTAAAAGGACATGCAATGAAATTCAACCAAGGGGAAACGAGGAAGTCACTTAACAATGTTAATAAGTGTAATTTTCAATAAGGCTATGATTTATGTTTGTTTGTTTTATGTGTTTGTTTATAATGTTGTGAAAACCAATAAAACTTTTTTTTAAAAAGAGGGACCAATGTATTAGGTAAAATAGAAACATCACCACCCGACCCCACCCCCCCACCCATCTCCCCCCTCCACCTCTTTCCCCCTTTTCTTCCTAATGTCTCAACAAATGAAACTGATTTGTAAAAAGGTTACATGGGGGAAAATAATAATATGAGAGACATTTCACACACTTTTGTAGATCAAGAAAATCTTTAATAAAAAATAACAACAACAATCATTGATGATGATGATGAAAGAAGCTCCGCACAGCAGCAGGATAGGTGCGAGGTCCCCAGTGGCGTAGCGAGGGGGTGCAGGGGGGGGCCGGCCGCACCGGGTGCAACATCTGGGGGTTAGGGTTGTTGTTGTTGTTTAGTCGTTTAGTCGTGTCCGACTCTTCGTGACCCCATGGACCAGAGCACGCCAGGCACCTCTGTCCTCCACTACCTCCCGCAGTTTGGTCAAACTCATGCTGGTAACCTCGAAAACACTATCCAACCATCTCGTCCTCTGTCGCCCCCTTCTCCTCGTGCCCTCCATCTTTCCCAGCATCAGTGTCTTCTCCAGGGAGTCTTCTCTTCTCATGAGGTGGCCAAAGTACTGGAGCCTCAGCTTCACGATCTGTCCTTCCAGTGAGCACTCAGGGCTGATTTCCTTCAGAATGGATGCGTTTGATTTTCTTGCAGTCCATGGGACTCTCAAGAGTCTCCTCCAGCACCATAATTCAAAAGCATCAATTCTTCGGCGATCAGCCTTCTTTATGGTCCAGCTCTCACTTCCATACATCACTACTGGGAAAACCATGGCTTTAACTATACGGACCTTTGTTGGCAAGGGGACGTCTCTACTTCTCAAGATGCTGTCTAGGCCTGTCATTGCCCTTCTCCCAAGAAGCAGGCGTCTTTTAATTTTGTGGCTGCTGTCACCATCTGCAGTGATCATGGAGCCCAAGAAAGTAAAATCTCTCACTGCCTCCATTTCTTCCCCTTCTATTTGCCAGGAGGTGATGGGACCAGTGGCCATGATCTTCGTTTTTTTGATGTTGAGCTTCAGACCATATTTTGCGCTCTCCTCTTTCACCCTCATTAAAAGGTTCTTTAATTCCTCCTCACTTTCTGCCATCAAGGTTGGTTAGGGGGCGCAAATCCATGGGTTAGGGGGCGCAAATTACTTGCCTTGCCCCTGGTGCTGACAACCCACGCTACGCCACTGGAGGTCCCTCGTCGCAGGAGGTGCTCGGCTTTAATTAAAAAACAACAACAATCATTGATAATTATGATGAAAGTTGGAGACGGAGTTGTTGGATACTAAAGGTAAAAATTTATCTTAAATGTACAAGTTATTGTTGGAGTGGCATACAAAAGATGAACAGCTTAAATCTGTGATGATAGATTGGGCAAGACATGTAGGATAGGACATAATACAATGTTTGAGGATTGGGAAAGATTGTGGAAGAAAGGGGTCAGGTTCACCGCATGTACTGTGTTAAAGGAAAATATAATGAAAATTATGTACAGATGGTATTTGACTCCTGTAAACGTAGCAAAGATATATCATAACTGTGACAATCTATGTTGGAAATGTAAAGAAAAGGAAGGAACCTTTTATCATATGTGGTGAACCTGCCCCAAGGTGAAAGACTTCTGGGAAAAGATTCATAATCAATTGAAAAAAATGTTGAAATATACATTGATAAAGAAACCAGAGGCCTTTCTTTTTGGAATAACAGGTTTGGAATTGCCAAGAAAGATGTTAAATTATTTTTGTATGCCACAACTGCTGCTTGTATTTTGTTAGCTAAAAAGTGGAAAACGCAAGAATTACCAACAATAGAAGAATGGCAGATGAAGATGATGGATTTTTCGGAGCTAGCTGACCTGTATTGTTACTAACCTCTATTGGTCTGTCACCCCCCCCCCAACTGTATTACCTGGGTTATGAAGGCATCCTAAAGATGTTAAAGCAAAGATTATGGGATAATGCACACAGTGACTTGCGATCTCGATCACACGCAGTCTGTAGTCCGCTGGCAGTAGGAGTACAATATGAGCATGTCTTTAAGTTAACATTTTACATTAAAAATCTGACAGTACCAAACTATCAAAGGCTTTTCACCAAAGCCAGACTAAATGTCTTCCCCTCTGCAGTGCTGGATGGCAGGTTGAGAGGAGTTCCCTACCAGGACAGATTTTGCTCGTGTGCCCAAGACATCGATTCCATAAAACATATTTTGTTGCACTGTGCAAAATATGAGCAAGCCAGGGCTGAACTGATACTACCCTTGCTGGTACCTTTCCCGGGAAATTCAGAGGCTCACTATGTCAGGTTCCTATTGGAAGACCGGACAAATGCTAGAACATTAGCAGTGGCAAAGTTTTTATCGGTGGTTGCAAGAACAAATAATCCCTATATTCTGAACAAAATGTTTGTTTAACCTGAAGGTAGGCTATATGAATTGTGTATTGCTTTGTAATGATTTGTTGGGTCTCTGGACCGTAATAAAGATTGATGATGATGTTACTGATTTGTACAAATGTTACATGGGGGAAAAATAATATGAGAGACATTGCACACACTTTTGTAGATCAAGAAAATATTTAATAAAAAAAAAAACCAGCAGCAATCATTGATGATGATGATGATGATGAAAGAGGCTCCGCACAGCATCAGGGCAGGGGCGAGGTCCCTCGCGCGCCCGGCCCTCCCAGGCCGCGCTCGTGCGGCCCTCGGCCGCTTCCGGCCGCTCCCCAGTGAGGCTGCGCGCTGGCGCTGGCATGCCGAATGGCTGAGGCGCCTGGCGCTGCTGCTGCTGCTGCTCCTTCTTCGCGCGACGGCAGACGGGCAGCTCCGAGCCGGGCGGGGGAAAGCGGACCCACTCCCTGCTGCTGCTGTCACCGGAGCCGCTCAGCGCCATGGTCTCCTGGATCATCTCCAGGCTAGTGGTGTGAGTAGCCCGCGCGGGGGTGTCTCCCGCCGCGCGCCCTGCGCTTTTGGGGAACCCCCAGCCTTTTTGCATGCGTGGTGGGCCATAGGATTGCATGGGGTTTTGGGTGTCTCTTTCTCCCGTGCGCAACGCAGCTTTCCACCCAACGCGCCCCGGGCTAAGAATATCTGCCCATCTAATTATAGCCTTTCCTTCACAGGCTGCCGCCGGTGCCTAGATTTTTTCTTTTCCCTTTCTTGCGCTCAGCAGCAGGAGATCGGCGTGGGTTTGGGGTTGTTTTTTTTAAAATACAGCAAAGGGAAGATGTGCATTTTTGGGTTGCTTTTTAAAAAGCACCCCACAAAATCCTATATTGGCTTGGCGCTGCCGGGTAGGGGTGAAGCCAGGACGGATGCACGCGAAAGCGGGGTTGCTTTTTGCAGCGTTTCCCCTCTGCAAATGGGGACAAAAATCGAATATTGGGAAGGGCGGCAGGGAAATTGACGCTTTGTTGCTGCCAATACCTATTTCTGTGGGGTGGGGGCTCGCTAGAGGGCGCTGTCTGGAGCCATCCCATGGGAGGTGGGAGCAGAGAGAGAGGGGTCCTAATTTATTTTTTGGTTAAGCACTGTTTACCTTACATGATTAAAATGGGTGGGGGAGAAGTATTTGTGGGGTTCCCCTGTCTTTGAAACCAAAACAAAAGAAAAACCCATAGCCTTTCTGGAAAAGTGGAGAATTCTCCTGCTTCAACATAGGTGTCGATTGTGATCTTCACATGTTATGGGGTGCCCAGGCGTGCCGTACAGGAATCCCTTAGAAATTCTCCCCAGGAAGCAAACAATGGAGTCTGTTTCCATTACCATTTGCATCTAGAAAGGGAAGGGAGTCGGCCTACAACATGTGCCCGCAACATGAAGCCGGTTATCCTCACAGATGCTGCTTTTGTAAAAGAAATGTAGCTTGCCAAAGTTAGGAGAGCAACAGAATGAATCCGAATGTGGATTTTCCTTGGGCTTCCTCTTCTAGGATGCTGAAGGCAATTTGTTGTTGCAGGCCCAGCGCCACCTTTGTCTGGAGAGATGTGCTAGGATAACGCCCGGTTCATCCACCTGGCTTCTGTCTCTGCCCACCAGACTGAAAGATGGGAAGAGGGTGGGATTGATTTTTGAGCTTCCTTTCTGTGAGCCTTTTGATGGCGGGTCATGGCAAGGGTTGGAAGAACAGAAGCCGGCAAGTTATATGATCCTGATCAATCTGCAGCTGTCATTTTCTGTGGTTGAGCTTGCACTTTGCTAGGGTGAACCATGTTAAATATCAGATGGGTATTTTGCAAACAAGATAAGTCTTTTGCTGATCTTTTTAAAAAATAAGATGGCACTTTAAGGTTTTGTTCTGCAAAGCTGTGTTTTCTCTTTCTCTCTCCACATAATTTACATAGTATTTCCAAGTGTGTGATTGGCATAGTATTTCTAAGTTCATGTTTAAAGATGCTGTTCCACTTTTCTTTGTTTTTGGCATAATTTCGAATACAGTCTCTCATTTGACTTTTAAACTCAGACTCATTTTTAAACGTCTAGTATTAATCTGTTTACAGTATTTGCCTCCTCCCATCTTGTGAAGCTTTGTTGAAATAGTGTCGATTGGTGTGTAGTTCTGGGAAACAAAGGCAGCCCAAGGAATGGCCGTATTATGAGTGAGGTCATACATCACACAGTTTGAAAGGTGTGGGGTGGGGTGAGGAAGAGAATGGCATAAGTGCACAGTTCTTTGTTGCACATGGTCCGCAAGCAGCAAAAGTATGACGCGACATCAGGACTTGTAGGAATAAAACACAAAGTTGCTTGATGGTGCAGAATAGCCCTCATTAAATACTACGTAGAGCAGGGGTCAGCAAACGTTTTCAGCAGGGGGCCGGTCCACTGTCCTTCAGACCTTGTGGAGGGCCGGACTATTTTTTTTTTGGGGGGGGGGAAATGAACGAATTCCTATGCCCCACAAATAACCCAGAGATGCATTTTAAATAAAAGGACACATTCTACTCATGTAAAAACACGCTGATTCCCAGACCGTCCGTGGGCCGGATTGAGAAGGTGATTGGGCCGGATCCGGCCCCTGGGCCTTAGTTTGCCTACCCATGACATAGAGCAGTGTTTCCCAACCTTGGGCCTCCAGCTGTTTTTGGACTACAATTCCCATCATCCCTTGCCACTGGTCTTGCTAGTCAGGGATGTTGGGAGTTGTAGTTCAAAAACAGCTGGAGGCCCAAGGTTGGGAAACACTGACATAGAGGAAACGATTTCTTACAGTACAGACCACCCCTAGATTCCCTTTCTGAATGTGCTAGGTTGTGTGTTAATGGGGTGTGAAGGCAGTCTTCAGGTCATACAAATTTGGGTTAGGGTTTAAATGGAATTGTTCTGAAATATAAACATTTGATCGAAGTAGCCTCCCAAAGCCTGCTCCCCATTGCAATGAACATATGGCTAATTCAGAGCATGGCCATTTGAAGCAAATGTGGAAAGTTCCAAGGGAGGAATGCACAAGAATGCTAAAAGTTTAAAGTGCTCATTGAGTCCCAGCCAGGGTCTGTTGGCTCTGAAGCCTGATAATTTGTTAAATATTTATCAAGACAAAAGGAAATCACATTTTTTTGGGGGGTAGGAAATAAGGCCTTAGCTGGAAAGAACACGAGTTCTTGACTTTGCTGCTACTTTTTTGTTTGGAGTCGACACACCGCTTCCCTGTCATAGCTACAATAAAACACTGACTTGGTTTTCTATGGAGCAGCTATCACTTCCTTCGTAGAGAAGACCAGCAGAATACAGTGGTACCTTGGTTTACAAACTTAATCCATTCTGGAAGTCCGTTCTTAAACCAAAACCTTTCTTAATCTGAGGCACGCTTTCCCTAATGAGGCCTCCGGCTGCCGGTGCCCTTCCACCGTTCGGATTCCGTTCTTAGACCGAGGTAATGTTCTCAAACCAATACACTATTTCCGGTTTTGTGGAGTTTGTAAACCAAATCATTCTTAAACTGGACTGTTCTTAAACTGAGGTACCACTGTATGCTTAAAAGCAAAGCAAGGGTCTGTATTGGGCTTTCCTCTTCAGCCTTCCCTAATTGGCTAGATCTGCTTTCCTAAATCTTAGTCATTGCTATGGCTTCATTCATTGGCTAAAAACACTGAAAGGTGGAAGCAGGCTGGTTTATCGCAAAACAAACCAGGGGGGGGGGGAGTGCCTGGACATTTTGCCTGAGATCTCAGGTTATGCAAATGCTAAAAGTTTATAACTATTTTTTCAAATAAAAAAATGGGAATCTGGGGAATCACAGTTCATCTGATGGAGCAGAGCGACTGTGTCCCCCCCCCCACCCCATGGACATTCACAATGGCCACAGAATCCCCATCCTTGCTCTGTACAGAAAATTAGGAGACAATCAAGGTACTGTAACTGGAAGGAACAGGAATTTGGCAACGCAGGATGGACACAAAGCTGAACAACTACACTGGGAGCTAGGAGCAACAATGGCCAATGCCAGACAAACTGGAAGTATTGTTGTTGTTATTGTTTATTAAATAATAAATAATAATAAATAAATATTAAATAATAACCTTGGGTTACATACGCTTCAGGTTACATACGCTTCAGGTTACAGACTTCGCTAACCCAGAAATAGTACCTCGGGTTAAGAACTTTGCTTCAGGATGAGAACAGAAATCACGCGGTGGCAGCGGGAGGCCCCATTAGCTATAGTGGTACTTCAGGTTAAGAACAGTTTCAGGTTAAGAACAGACCTCTGGAACAAATTAAGTACTTAACCTGAGGTACCACTGTAATAATAATAATAATAATAATAATAATAATATTTATACTCCGCCCTCCCTGGCCACCCTTCATTTGAGGATCACAGGGCAGTTTACAATATAAAAACACAAAAATGCATAGCATAGTAACAAACAAAAACAATATTACACCCCCACCCACAGTAGGAGTGTTGTTATGAGTCCTGATCTTTGACTCTGGGCACCATATTTTCTGTCTTCGCTCCTTTTTCTTTTTTAAAAAAACCCTGCTAACAGAACAACTGGACTTGCTGCAATGTGTATTGCGAGGGAGTCCTCCAGTCATCATCTGAATTTGTGAAGAGGCCTCATCCTGTATCAATGAGTAGAATAAGCAAATTTTGTACAAATTTGAATCATGGGCCATATAGATCCTTTAAATATCTAGCAGCAGCCCTGGGCCAAAGTACAGTGGTGCCCCGCAAGACGAATGCCTCGCAAGACGGAAAACCCGCTAGACGAAAGGGTTTTCCATTTTTGAGTTGCTTCGCAAGACGATTTTCCCTATGGGCTTGCTTCCCAAGACGGAAACGTCTTGCAAGTCTTGCGATTTCCCCCCCGCTTCCCCCCTTTTTCTAAGCCGCTAAGCCGCTAATAGCCTTTTAGCAGCTAAGCTGCTAAGCCTTTAACAGCCGCTAAACTGCTAATAGCGCTAATCCGCTAATCCGCTAATAGGGTTGCTTCGCAAGACGAAAAAACCGCTAGACGAAGAGAATCGCGGAACGGATTCTTTTCGTCTTGCGAGGCACCACTGTAGGACGTTCTGAAGGGAGGAAAGACCATTTATGCCACCCACCAGTTGATTTTGGGAGCGTCTAGTCCAGCCTCCCCCAACCTGGTGTCCTCTAGATGGTTTGGTCATTGGCCAGGCTGTCTGGGACTGAAGGGCAGCCAGTGAGGGAAGGCTGATGCAGCCCCATTCAACCTACCTCAAACTATCCAGACCCTTGAGGTGGGGGGCTTTACAGGTTTTAGGAGTGAGGCTGTACGTAGCCAACCTTTCCGAGTTAGTGGGCACACTTGGAATTTTCATTATGGTTGCCATTAATTTGATTTGAAATGATTTTATAATGAATTGATTTTAGAATGCTGTATTATTTTACTGTTGTTAGCCGCTCTGAGCCCAGCTTTGGCTGGGGAGGGCGGGATATAAATAAAATTTTATTATTATTAT